AGTTTAGGCAGGCCTCAAACTCATAGCAATTCTCCTGCCTCAACCTCTCCAGTGCTGGGATGACAGTCATGTGCCACCACGCCTGGCTAAAGAAGTCATTCTGAAAATATGTACATATGATTCCAATTCTGGTATTCTGGGAAAATCAAAACTATGGATACAGTAAAACTACCAGGAGTTTCCAGGGGTAGAAAGGAATGAATAGGTACCACATAGGATTTTTAGGACAATAAAACTATTCTGTATAAAGTTGGGCATAGTGGTGCACACCTGTAATCCCAGCTACTCAGATGGCTGAGGCAGAAGATTTTAAGATTAGGGCCAGCCTCAGCAATTTAGTGAGACTATCTCAAAAAAAGGGGGGTAGGGCAGGCATGTAGCTTGTCTAGCGTAAGTAAGGCATTAGCTTCAATCCCCAGAACCACACACACAACAAAACTCTTCTCTATGATACTACAATGGTAGCTACATGTCATTACACAATTGTCTAGATCCACTGTACATAAAACACTAAGAATAGATCCCAACGTAGTTGGGGTGATCAAATATAAAAAATGTACTCCTCTAGTGGGAAATATTTGTAATATGGGAGACCATGAATGGTAATTTTCCCAATCTTGCTGTGAACCTAAAACTGGTCCTTTAAAAATTTTTTTTTCTTTTTCTTTTTTTTGGTATTGGGGACTGAACTTAGGACCTTGCGCTTGCCAGGCACTTTGCCACTAAGCTACATCCCCACCCTTAAAAAAAAAAAAAATCTTCAAAAAATTAATAAAATAGTAAATATTCTTATGTGTAGAACTGTTCATTGTTTCAAAATCTACAGTAGCAATAAAATGAACAACACAAATTTCTACTAGGAAAATAACTAATACAAATATGGTAAGTTCATTCTATAAAGATACTTTTGCAAACTGAAGAACAATTATATACAATATGACACCATTTATAAACAAATCTTTTAAATTTATTTAATTTATTCTTGTTATTATTGTTTTAAGTTAGAGCCCTGCTATGTCACCCAGGCTGGCCTCCAGGGCTCAAGTGTTCTTTCTACCTCAGCCTCCCAGGTAACTAGGGCTATAGGCATGGCCACCACACCTGGCCTAAACTCTGTGTGCAACGAACCCAGGGCTTCACTCCTGCTCAACCAGCACTCTACCATTGAGTTACTCTTCAGATTCCTAAAATTTTTTAAATGTTAAATTAAGCAAAACTGAAATTCGATCTGACCATGTATTAAATTCACAAATAATTTATTCAATTATTTTAAAGAATTTAAGCGTATTTGTATGCCAAAAGAATAGAAAACGTTAGCAGGTCAAAACTGAGAGCTACATCTAAAGGCAATAAAGATAAAGGTCCCTGGTGGTAGGGGTTACCAAGTGGAGTGGAAGAGTCTCACAGGTGGGACACAGGGAAGTTGGTTCACGGGACTCAAATGCCCATTGGTGGAGAAACAGCTCAATAAAATGTGGCCCATTTATATTGTAGGGTAGAAAACCGAGCGTTAAAAAAACATGCCCAAGCACAAATACACCACCAAAATTAATTTACAGAGAAAGAATAAACCTAACATCTTATATTTCCTGTGGAAATGGTCGACAGAAACCATCCAAGCTACTGAGCCAACAGTGCTCAGGCTGTGTCACAGCATTTTCTAAAAGAAGAATGCAATTAAAAGGTATGGTAGCACACACTGTGTTCAATCCCTAGTATGGTGTTATCTTGGATCACAAACTCAATTCTCTCTGCAAACCAAACAGATGAGAACCAAATCAAATTTCCCCATAAGGGCAATACTGAATTTAACCACTGATTTTGATTCGGTTCTTGTCCAACTCAGTGTGCAATCAGAATCACTGAAGAATCAAGTTCATAAGGTACCACTGTATGCAAAAACACAACGAAACAAAAAAGGAAAATACAATTAAAATTATATTTTTAAAAAAAAGGCAACCAAGTATAGTGGCACATACCTGTAATCTCAGTACTCTGGGAGGTTGAGGCAGGAGGATCAAAAGTTCAAGCCCAGCCTGAATAATTTAGCAACCTAGTAAGAACTTGTCTCAAAATTTAAAAAATTTAAAAGGGCTGGTGAGGTAGCTCAGTGTGAAAGCTCTCAGTTCAATCCCTAGTACCACAAAAGAGAAACAGAAAAACAAGCTACTCTCATATTAAAACATAAATTAGATCCCTATGTACATAATCCTATAGACAAAACAGAAAAATAACACAAAAAGTTTGCACAAAAAAAAACAATTTTTTCTAGGAAGTAAAATGGGAGGAGTGAAGGAATTTTTTATACTATGAATATTTTCCTTCAGTATTTGTGACAATGAAAATAACAGAAAAGAGAGGAAGAAAGGGAAGGAAAGGGGAGGAGAAGGAAAAACAAAAGAAAGAAGAAAGTGGGAGGTGGGAGGTGTGAAGGCAAAACTGGTTTGCAAAGTGGAAGGAAACAAAACTAGAACGATGGAGATGGAGGGCACTGAGGAAGAAAAGAAGGTGTGTGTGTGCATTTACATAAGATACATACATAAATAGAAAACGAGCAAGCTAAGGTGGCAAAAGTGTAACTAGGGTATGTGGACAAAAGGCATACAGAAAATTTTTAAATTTAATATCAATGCTTTAATACTGTTCTTCCAACTTCTCTGTGATGTTGAAATTATTTCGAGACAAAATAAAATAAAAGACTTTCCAGCATGATTCTTTACCTCACATGAGATACCAACACAATCTGGCCTTGGTTAAAGTTAAGGTTCCACACTCCCTCAGCACTCAGGCTTTCTTTCCATCTGGCAAAGGAACCTTCCAGTTCCTGCCTAAAGGCTAACCTTAGCTTCCTCCAAGGAAAATGCAGTTTCCTTCATCCACTCCATCTTCCTATGCTCATTACATAGTCACTCAGATTATCTAAATGATCCTCGAGAGGACTTTCTGATTCTGCCATCTAGCCTCTCATTTATTTACTTATTTACTTATTTTGGTGCCAGGAATCAAAATCACGACCTCACATTTGCCAGGTCACTGAGGTGTATCCCTAGTCTTAACCTCCCTTTTATGCACACAACCTTCACAACCGTTTGTTTATTGATGCTCCTCTGAGAGTTGCCTCTTATTCCCCTTGTGGTCACAGACTCTATCAGTCTTCATCACCCTTGCATGTTCTAGAAAATATCCTGGTTTAACAGTTGTGTTAGTAAGCTTTCCATGATTGTAACAAACAAATTTATGGACAAAAAAAGGGGGGTTATTTTGATTATAGTTTTAGAGGTTTTAGTTCCTGATTGGTTGGCTCCATTGCTTTGGGCCTCTGGCAATACATCATGCAGGAGCATGCTGGGGAACAAAACTGCTCACCTTTAGGCTGGGAAATAAACTATCAGAGAAAGGGGCGGGACTGCCAACGTGCGCTTCTAGGCCATGCCCCCAGGACCAAAAAACCTCTCCAAGTCCCCTCTCAATACCACTGGGGATCAAGCCTTTAACATGTGGGCCTTCAGGACACATTAATGATACAAGGTATTATAATTGTTAACAAATGTTTGTTAAATTAATACGTGTATAACAAGGACTTAGAAGCTGCTTGTACTAAAAGCACTAACTCTTCACTTGACTACAATGGGTGACTAAATACAGGATAAAAAGCATGGTATCTCTGCCATTGTTTGGACTTGTCATTTCTCTGGTCATTCTCTCTGGCAGTTCACCCTGACAAAATGATCCACCAGGCCACACTTTGACCAAGACTGCTTAATTATACACACTTCTTGCCCACCTTACCCATATAACTTTGGAGCTCTTAAAGACAGAACTGAAAATGCTGATTCCCTTGTCTTCCCGGTATAGCTACACTGACTAAAGTTCCTTTCCTGCTTTTTACAATTACTTTCTTCTTTTGCTTTTGGAGTGAATGGCCAGACCTGGTTTGTTGGAAGCCCCAAAACTGGAACTCTGGTCTGGGACTATAGTAACACATGTACTCCAAAACAAGGAAAAATTGTTTACATTTGTTAAAATGTCTCTTAGATGCCAACCAACAATAAAAGCACAAATTGCAGACAACCTGCCTCGGGCTGAATCCTAGCTTTGTCATCTTCATTTCCTTGGTATTCCTTAGCACATTTGGGACATTGGGCACATTCCCAGTTTCCTCACCTATAAAACAGACTCCTGAGGTTTGAATGACTTCACACATGAACTGCTTAAAAGAGTGCCTAGCCAACAATTATTACTAGCCAACTATTATTTATTAGTTTTAAAATGTTTTTTACTTAGGTATTCACTTTCAGGGGGAGGTTGGAATTGAACCCAGAGCCTTACATTCATCTACATTCCCAACCCTTCACTTTTTTGAGTCAAGGCCCTGCTAAGCTGCCCAGGCTGGTCTTGAACCCCTGCCTCAGTTTTCCGTAGCTGGGATCACTTTTTTAAAAATTGCTATTGTAAGTGGTATTATTTTCTCATTGTACTTTCTTTCTTTCTTTCTTTTTTGACAGAGGCTCTCATTATGCAGTTCAGGCTAGTCTTGAACTCAGTTTGTAGCCCAGGCTGGCCTCAAACTCACAACGATCCTCCTGCCTCAGCCTCCCAAGTGCTGGGATTGTAGGTGTGCGCCACCATGCCCAGCTTGTACTTGCTGTATAGTTGTTTGTTTAAAGACAAAAAGTTCATTGAATTTTGAGGTTAATTGTATTGTTCAAGCCACCTCATGAACATTCCTTGTCTTTGGCACCCAAATTCTTTTTAACTTGATTGCCTAAAAATGATACACTGTTCTCAATCACTTCCTTCATTCTGCTATCTATAGTCTCACATAACTCACTTTGCAACCATTCTTTACCTCCCACCAAAAAAAAGGAAGAAAAAGAAAAACTTTGCACCACCCCCAAAATCTCTGCTGGTGGAAAAATTTCCTAGGATTTAAACATTCACAAATTCAACCAACACCTTTTTGCCTCAAAAGGTACCTTTTTATAGCATTTCATATCTTCATGGCTCTTATGAAGTTCTTAAATGTAGGAGAAATCTCATACTTCCTTTCAGTTCTCTTCACTCCACAAGTCCCTTCCTTGTCATTATCCTAAATCTTCAACTCGATCCTCTTCAGGGTTTCAGCTGGTCACACTCACTCTGGGCTTCTATGAATGTAAGTTCCTTTAACCTGTATATACTGTACTGTATCCAGTTTACAATGGCCACTGCAACTACAGACTCAAATATAAGTGTTTCTAGTCTCAGGAAACATCACCACCATCCTTTGGGGTGTAATGGGTTCAGCAATCACACCACCGTGAAATCTCCCCTCTCGAGTCAATCATTTAAAAAGCCCGAGTGATCAATTACCTTCACCCAAGCTGCTCCTTTATCTTTTGTACCTTCCATGTCCTCTCTTGCCTCCTTTTCCCGTCCATTCAACTGTACTTATGCCCACTGTATACTCAACTACCTTTCTCGTCAGACCATAGCTCTTGTAAAACAAAGAACACATCATTCGTCTTCCTATTGTTAGCATTAGCCTCATGCGCGCACACAAAAAGACAGTGAATAAGCTGAGACACAAGGAGGATCAGTGCTTAAGATGGAATCTCAGAATTCTGGACATGCAGCGGTCAACGAAGTATAAAGACACAAGACACAAAATATCACAATAAACGTTTCTGGACTGGGGGCGTCAGGTCTGCACAGAGATGAGGGGCATCAGCTCCTGGATGTGACCGTGAAGGGATAAACGTGGCCACCCCAGGTGTCGAGTAAGCTTTCGAAAAGCGAAAGGAAACCCTATTTACCCAGCACGAAGCTGTCCGGAAACTGACAGCCATCGCTGCGGGCCACCAGGACCGACAGGGTGCCGCCTGAGTCGCTCGCAGGTCCGCCGCCTCCACTCTTCCAACCTCAGGACTCGGCACAGAGACGCGGCCACGTTCGTCGTGTCCGAAGCAACCATTAGCGGGGCCTAACTGGGTCCGGACTTTCCAAACCCGGATACTTGCTTAGCCACAGAGCCTCCCACCGAGGGCAGGGCCCACCGGCGCCAGCCTCTCAGTTGGAAACAGAACCGCGCAGGGCACAGCAAGGAGCCAAAAAGCGGCGCAGTAGGAAGTGCGTCATCCCGATGAGTCGCATAGAAAGCCGGAAACTACAGAGTGGCGCGCTTCTCCCGAAGTCTTGTTTGCAGGCTCGGCTTTCCAGGCTACTTTCTCAAGGGTGGCACGGTCTGCGGAGCCAGAAGAACCAGCTACCAGGATGAGAATCAACGCAGACCCTGAAGGGGCGTGCTGAGGCATTACTGCGAACAAGACTGGACTCAGACCAAAACACATTGCCAAAAAGGACGCTTTGTAATGTCAGGCAGATGGTCTCTGAGGGTCTTCAAGGACCTCCTGGCTCCACACTACGCGCCCCCTCACCCCGCGCCTTCTCTTCCGCTCCCTCACTTCCACTCCCGGGATGAACAGAAAAGTGAGGTGAGACTGGCTCAGAAGCCCAAGGACCCCCAGCAGAAAAAGAGGAAGTCAGGTTTGACGCAGAATAAGGAAGTCAGAAATGAAAGTAGTGCGAAGCAAAAGTTTTACTTGTGCGAATGCAGAATTAGCTGCCCTGCAACAGCGTGCTGGAAGGCGGGGATAGTTTCCCAAAGGTCGAGACCACTGTACTCATAGGACTAAACTGGTTTCTAAAATTAACTGTTTTGCTGCTTGATGTCATCTAGGCCAATCAGGGTCTTAACCTTTGTTTCTGGTATAAGGAAAAAATCAGGGGGCTAGGGGGTTATAGCAAGTGCACATTATAATTTTACAAGGGCTAGCTTCCTCAAGTACATAGCGTATGATAAACTCGTGATAAATACACAACCATTACCCACCCAGGTGATGTCCTACATCATCTATTTCTACTTTCTCCTCTAATTGTCCCTACAGTAAAAAGCTGTGGGGTTAAACAATGATTTTGCATATCAGTGCAAGAAATCAGTACTTCACAAGGAGGAAACTAGTATATGTGAAGAGAAATAGAGGCACATCAATAACAAGACACACATCAACCTTGGTTCAAAATAGATAATAATCCTGTCTGGGGCTGGGGATTTAGCTCAGCGGCACAGCGCCTGCCTGGCAAGTGCAAGGTTGTGAGTTCGATTCCCAGTACCAGAAAAAAACAAAAATAAACAAAAATAATAATAATCATGTCTGATAACAATGCAGTAAAACTATAAATAGCAGAACAGAAAAAGCTTTTCTGCCTTAAAAAAGAATTTTAAGGCTTGCTATCACACATGTAATGAAATGGGGAAGTACAACACTAAAGAGAGCCTTTTAAGAGTTTGCGGGGGGAGCCGCGGGGGGGGGGCAGAAAAGGTGGTGCACACTTGTAATCTCACCACTGGGGACACAGAGAGGAGAACCAACCCTGGCAATTTAGCAAGACCCTGTCTTATAATAAAAAATTAAAAAGTGTTGAGAATGACCTCCCCAATGTAGGTCAGTGGGGAGGCCTTGGGCTCAGTGGCAGTAAGGAAAAAAAAAAAACAAGATCTAGTGAGAGGCCCTTAAGTTCATAGTGTACTCTCCTGAAGATACTTCTCAAGAAACTTCTTGAGTTCTTGCCAAAGCATTGTTAGAATGTTACAGAATTTGTATGGAGGAATGGAAAATGCTCTGCACCACGGAGTTGGAAGACAACTTTTATTTATGCTGGCAAGCCAGTGGGAGCCACATCCAAATCACCAGCCTCGCCTTAGAGTAAAATAGCAACTTACGTTTGTAAGCAGGAAGTATAAAGTCAATAATGGATTTGTCTATAATTGGTTACATATATTTGGTCACACATTGTCAGGCAGATGTGTCTGGGGAAGATTTAAGTAGAGGGGGCCATTCATCGTGAGGCAGGAAGGTCTGGGAGAAGTCAGGGTCTGGGCGACTGAGTAAGATTTAGTGTGTCCTTGACAGCGTTATCCTGTCCAGGATAGACAGTCCTTGAAACAGGCTAGCAAAACAGAATATGTGTGCAGGCTATTGTGCAGTTGGTTAGATAGAGCTGAGTCAAATTACCTCTGAGTTTCAGCTGGGTAGTCAAGGCTGGCTGAATCTGATGGTCCAATTAAGGGGCTATTATTTTAAAACTTGCTATTACACTGATTTTGGCCCCACTTATCTCTGAGATATAATGTTTGTACCAAATTGTACTCCTGCCTTTTCCATACACCATTCACCATGAAGCCCTCACCACAATTGAGCCAAAATGGAAACATGCCATCAAAACTCCAAAACTGAGTTAACCCACCCCACTTCTTTTTAGCAGTATTGGTATTACTGAGGGAGCAGTAAGTATATTCCCACTTTTTTTTTTTTTTCTTGAAACACAGTCCTACTAAGTTTCTCAGGGCAGTTTCAAACTTGTGATCCTCCTGTTTCAGTATACTGAGTACCTGGGATTACAGGTATGCTATACCAAGCCCAGCAAAAGTCTTTTTTATTTATTATGATTAATTCAAGCTTAATACTTTCAGCCTTCACTGTGATGCCAATCAAGGGTTCTTTTGCTTGATTTGGACAGAAATCACAAATCAGCAAAAAATACTACTGTCTTGGTTACTTTTCTCTTGTTGCTGAGACAAAATACCCAACGCCCAAAATGAAGGAAGGAAAGGTTTATTTCGCTTACAGTTTGTGGAGGTTTCAGTTCATACTTGGCTGGCTCCGAGGCAGAAGATAGCAAAGCAACAAGAGCAAAGGGGGGAATGGCAGCCGAACAGCAAAGCAGCCAGAGCAAAAGGGAGGAATGGCAGCAAGCAGCTTCTTTCTCTGCCTTACTTTGTAAACAGGCTACCCCCACCTAAGGGGCATGTAGCTCTCACATATTCTCCATGCCCTCCTCTTACACAGGCTCAGGATGTATACAAAGTAAGCACCCTGGCTTCCTGCTGAATCACTTAGCCAAACCTCTAGACTCCCCAAGTTGACACAATGTATCAACCATAACAAGTACTGATTGTAGCTCCAGCCTTTGTGTGTTAATGGCCCTCATCCCTCTGGAACTCTGAGTCTCTAGAGCCCTCAACCATAGTGTTATAGGGAGCTAAATTAGAAATAATTACTGTACAGTCAGAAAGGGCCTGGGCTCTCAAGGAAGTCAGTGAAAAAGACAACAGAATTGTGACTAGAGGCACATCTGAAGAAGGCCAGACCTCAAGATAAAGATGCAACAGCCAGGCCTACATGCATTCCTAAAGGATAAATAATAAATCTGATTATATTATCATTAGCACCACCTGATCACATAAGTTGAGATAGTCATCAGTCACCCAGGTGGGTGACAAGAGCATCCAGACCCATCCCTTCCTAAAAATGTCTGTTCTTGCCATGTAGCCTTGCTATGTGACTATTTCCCTATTGAGTCAATATTAGCTAAGTAGCTATACTTGTAATCTTACAGGTTGATTGTAATTTGACCCATATTGTGACTTTGCAGTATAAATTACCCCTTACCAAGAACCTCAGGAGCCACCCCACTCAGGGCCCCTCCTGGAAATCCAGAAACAATTCTTCTCTCCTTAAACTTTCCTAACTTCTTCCTTTGGTTCACAGTTTCATTCCTCAATATTATGGGACCATAAATTCAGTACATTTGATATCTAATGGGTCAAAAGTTATATTTCTTCTATACAATTATGGCATCGGGCTAATTGCTGCCACTGGATGCTATTGTCAGTCTCAGCTGATTTTTGCCACTGGGCTCTGGAACTCATTGGGTCTAGCAGTCCTGAGTGTTTATAGCCTTTGTTTTCTGCCAGGTATTGGGTATTAAACTCTAGGCAGTGACCTATTCTGTCCATATTATTTAGGCTAGATTTACAGAATCTTCAAGCCCACACAACCCAAGAACTCGAGTAAACTTACATGACCACCAAATATGGCTTTGTTTGGGCTTGTGGTGCAACATGGAGGAATGCTATTAGCATATAAAAAGGAACCCTCCTAAACCAGAGAAGTGTTAGAGGAATGCTATTTACATAACACAAATGCTACTAACCAGTATGGCTCTTGACATTCCCAGAGGAAAAATAGCAAAAGGATGAAGAAATAAAGATAACAGATGAAAGCTGAGGTCAGGTGGAGCCCTCTCTCTCCTGATGGAAGGAAAGGAACTGCTCAACCACTGTAGGGACTTTTATTTATACATTTGACAAAGTATCACTCAACAGAGGGTTGCCTAGTGACTAATGACTGGAATTGTCTCAGGACTAAAGCAGCTTGATTGCCTCAGGGGCTCTTATTCTTGGACCTGCCTTGCCTTGCCCTCCTCTTGTGACAAATTTCCAGCTTCAGCCACTCCCTACAACTCCCCACTTTCTGTTTTGTAGTTGCAAGGGTGTTCAGTTGAAGTTGGAGGAGCTGTGTTTGGAGGACCTTTGTAGACAACTTTTTTTGTTATGGTTATACTTTTCTGCGGGATGTTTAAGACCAAGCTAAGGCAAGACCTGTACTAATCAATTTTTAATGTCTATCATAGTCAGTTAAGTGTCCTCAGGATTTACCTTGGAACTAAGTACAGCACCTCTTAGTTCTTCTGTCAGTGTCAGGCATTTGGATGAGTTACAACCATTGCTTGACCAAACTGCTTTCTATGAAACCTTGGGAAATTATTTCCTCTCCTGGTTACCCTCCTTGGAACACTATACATCTTTGAATCACTTTCCTCTGTGGTCCCACAATCTCCTTGATCAGATCAGGGACTCAACTGAGTTATAGCATGTCACAGCAGAGCTTCTCTTATGTCCTAGGTCCTCACTGACCTTGGTGAGCTAGAGCCAAAATATTGGCTATCTTCTTAGCCCATTGATCTCTCTAATTTTTGGTCTCCAAACTTCAGTTGTGGAATATCCAGAAGAAAAAATTAATGACATTATGTTGTATTGGAGGCAGTAAGCTTAATATTACTATCTTATCTGAATATCAAACACTATAGAACATAAAATGAAACTGTTATTTTCTAACAGCCATGAATATTCTAATATTTAAATCCCTACAAAATGTTAACAGACAATAGTTACATATTTTTACACAGAAATTTAGAAACCGAAACCATACATAATATTGCAACA